TTTGCACCTTGTGAGTGGGTCTTGGTTTGTTTTCCTTTAGTTTCTTCACTTCTAAAAACTGTCTTGATCCAGATGCACTTGGATATTCTTGCTTTGGTATTTGCAGTTCTCTCCACAATGCCTGAAGAGGTGCAGTGAGTGAGAGGCTTTTGGGCACTTTCCATTCAGCCAGGGTCACCCCGCCATCGCCTGGCACACCGAGGGGCCATGACTGAGTCGAAGTGTGATGTGGAGGCTTATGGATGGAGACAGAAGTCCAAACCTCCCTCTTTTCACGGGAATACACAGTGCAACATAGGGCTGCTTTTCTTGCTTATTACCTTAGCCCAAGGCTTCTGCCCACCTCCTTTCCCTCCCCCTCTTTCCCTCATCCTCAACTGACCTGTGCTTTCCTCCCAACAGCCTTCACCCATAAAAAGTCAACCGTGCCACACATTGAGCCACCTCTGACCACACAGAAGACCATGACTGTCACCACCTCCATCAGCAGCACCTCCAAGACCTCTGTCTCCACAGAGACCAGCCCACCAAGCAGCACAGAACTCCCTCTGACAACAACATCTCCAAATCCCAGCTCTCCACCTGCCCCCAGCAGCCCACTCAGCACCCGGCTGCCATCTGCTGCCTCGTCTACATTTTCTTCTTTGTCTGCAACCGTCAGCACAATGCCTACACCTACACCCCTCACTACCTCCACATTTAGGTCTGCTGAGAGTACTCCGTATTCTTCTTTCCAAAACACCACATTGCCTCCATATGGCAAAACATCTTCCTCAGCCGTTCCTACCAGTATCTCTGCCAAATCCACTCCAGAGTTGGTCCCGACTGTTTTATCCACAACACTGACATTTGCTCCCCTTGTGATCACTACTGCTTCTACAGAGTCAGTTGAAAGGAGCACCTTGCGAACAACAACATTAACCACTGCCCGCACGACATCATCTCCTTCTTTCACCTCCAGACTTTCAACGTCCTTGTCTTCTATTGTGCCATCGACAGTTCCACATGGTAATGTAGATCCATAGTATTTCCTATATCATGGTTTTAATACCTTTTTTTTTATGAGTGCATGAATTTTTTCTTTACAAAAAGTAACTGCATAAGGGGCAAAAAGAAAAGATGGAGCCAATGGGTACAAATGGTATCATAGATAAAGAAGATGTAGAGTAGTTGTCTGATGTCTTAGATTTCATAAGCTGATTGATTCCCTGCTATACAATACTGTAGACATTAAAAAGCATGAGTTAAAGAGTCTGACAGGATGCAGATCGGGAGAGTCACAGAACCTCTATTTTCTAATCTTCAAAAGCACTGTAAGAAAGACAGCCTGTTCAAATAAAAGGTATCTTTTGACTTACCTTGCAGCCCTCTTGTTAGCTCTCATATACTTTGCACAGTTCATTTTTGTTCTCTCTTCTGCTGGATACTGTTTTCCTAGTTTTTAAGGTACAGAGATGTTTTTTGGTTCCTGTGCATAATTAATCATCTAATATTTTTTGACTGAAGGAATACCATTTTCTATAATTTCCACACAATTTCATGTGGAATTTCAAGTGATGTACACAAAGCAATATCTATGTACTACTTTGAAATGGAACTGTCCTACTTTAGGATCCACAGTATAGGAGTCAGGAAACATGGTGTGGATGCACAAGAGGTGTCTAAGATTTTAACTGTACCCTGTATAAGTAGCAGAGGCCTAGTTTCTACTCTTATTTAGAAACAATGAGGCAGTTTTTATTCAGTGCTTTGTAGGATATGGTTTAACACCTTCTAAGAATAAACCAGAGTGACATGTGCACTGTTCAATCTATGAATGGAAGGTAGGTTTACTGTATGGTTCATTTTTGTGTGTTTATTTGTTTTAACTACTGTTTGAGGACCAAGAGAAGAGTTAACATCTCAATTTGAGCCACTTTGCATTCTCTTTTGGGAGCTTTCAACATACAAAGGAGAAACTATCTGGAACGTGTACTTTAGCCACATTATACTGCCTTGTTCCCTATTGCCTTGTCCACTGTCATATACTGACTTCACTGCTTGTTCTCATTTTCCTTGTGTTTAATTCCTAAAAAAAGCACATTCTTCACTTGTCTTATCTTTTTCAAGAATCAGGAGGGATGTGCAGCATCCTAGTAGGCGTGCCCCTTTTCTACCTTGCTTAATAATGACATTATAAGTATTTGTATCTTTTTGTCTTTGAAGCATGTGTTCAAAACTTTTCCACAGACAAATATGCTACTTCCTTAGTTGTTGTGAATCCTCACACAAAGTCCTTCCTTTTGTCATTACAATCAGATCCACTGAACCAGGAACTCTAACAGGAAGGAAGAATGAACAAAGCAGAATACCATGCTCCATTCAACCAAGACATCAGTCTTAATCCAGAAGACTGATTTATACAAAGGGTTCCAAATAGTCATGTAAGAAAACTGTATTTGTGGTTAACTACTACTCTCAAAGAGTGATGTAAGAATCAATATACAACAGTGGGTACAGTTACCTGTAGCTGAACCTTTCATCTCCGTTTTCACCATTAACATTGTCAGAGTGCAGCCTGGCCAGGTCAGTCAGCTCAGCCACAAGGCATGGCAGAATTACCTACTTGCAGAGAAGTGATTAAATGCAAATCTGTCCTTCATCCTGCTGTCACACAAGTGCTGCAGTACCAAAGAGGCTCATTGCAGTTTTAGCAGAAAAGAGCCTCATATTGACTGACTGCTAGAGCATTGGGAAATGACAGTTTGACCCAGGGAGGCAGGATTTGACCCTGCTTGCCCTTCATCCTCATGATTTTCACCTCACAGAATGGGAATCCAAGTAGGAACTCTCATAAGCAGAAGGATTTTCCACAGTACAGTTATGTTTTAGGGGCCTGCTTTGGATTTTGTTCACATTCTTTTCCTAAGAGAAGTGCTTCCAAACATTACATTCCCAACCTAGCATTACTGACTTTGCTCCTTGCAGTCTTAGTCTACTGTCCAGTTATTAGTTGTTTAATTTTCCAGTAAGAAATTCCCAAACATATACAACAGTATTAACTGAGTCTTTCCTGCAATAGTGTTCAGGTTTCATCTATAACCTACCATTAACCACGGAACCTGAATGTGCTCAAGAGATCCTTGTGCAGGAGCAAGTGTGAGAGGTGCATGAATTGCCTTTGTAGTATTCAACATCTTTGTTCTCCTTAAAATAAACTTCAAACACTGTGTTTAAACTCGTTGGAAAACCTATGTTTTCAGTCAGCTTTTAGCTTCATACAGTGTTTAAGTGTCATGCTTCAAGTCAGGAGAAAATAGGAGATTGGTACATCAGCATGTAGCATTAGGCATTCTGTCTTTGTAAGGAAAGTTGTGAACTTCTGTCTGCCTACAAAAAAATTACACCCTTAGAATGAGTAAGCTAAGCATTTTTCCAGGAAGTAAAATCTACTACAAAGTCTGAGAACCAGAAATAATTCCACCAGAATGAGCCAGCTGGTTGTTTTACATGCATCTTAACGTTCTCAGCAGAGGATTAGTTTTTTTCCTGCTGGACTGAATTTGCACTACCTTCTTAACAGGAATTTTTTTCCTCATTTGTAATTCCAGCAATCTCTGTGTTCTTAGTTGTTCTCCATGGTAAGTGTCTCAGGCATCTTCAGCACCCAGTTTAAAAACTCCTCTTACTGTGTTACTCACTTGTGACTTGTTAGTTATCTCATGCAGTAAGAATGGTGTTCCATGAAACCAAGTATGGAGGCTTTTGGCATCTAACAAAGGTCACTCAAGAAGGCCAAGATAAATATCTGCTATAATTCTTTCTTTTTTTCACATTTGACAGATCATTGTAGAGAAGTTGAATATGAAGAAAAAATAACTTACAAAGGCTGTTCTGCAAATGTCACTTTAAGCCGATGTGAAGGATCATGTCCATCTTCAACAAAGTAAGGATAGCTCAGAGGCTGCAGAGTACTGAAGTTGTTTTTCTTACTTAGTCATCTGTAAGGAGTGGTATTTTATGAACTACTGCTCCTTAAAAGTCAGGGAGGAACATGTGGTTAGAATCCACCCAGTAATATATCATGTTGCCATATAAAGCAGGTAACTAAACCCAGCGTTAATAAGGTCATTTATTGTATAGGGATTTAAATTCTAAAGAAGGAATGTCATCTCACTTCCTTAAGGTTTTGTTGTTTGTTTTTTTTTTAAAATAGATGTCAGTGCTGCAGGTTTGGGGGGCTATTCTGATTGTTGGGATTTTGGTTTTGTTTATTTGTTTCCTTTTAAAGATTTAAAAGGTTGTTTAGACTACAAATACCTGTTTTCAAATAGCTAAGACAGTAAAATAAGAAATTTCATCTAAGGTACATAATGTCATTTCAGTTGTTTCATAACATTCTCCTATTAATGTAATTCAGGTATATTTTATAATTACAAGTGTGCTGTCTGAGCCTGTGCTGTTCTGCTTGCCCAGTAGGAGATTATTCAACAGAAAATCAAGGCTTCAATACAACTAAACTTAGTGCAGCAGTATTAGAGTTCACAATTATTTGGGGGGAAAAATTAAAATTGTTAAATTCCCAACAACCCAAGCCAATACTATGTTCAAGAATAGGAAAACAATGAAGAGTTTTGCCTTTGCAATAACTAATTTAAATTAATCCTGAAGCTAAAAGCTATCCCCTTCAAAGCAAGTTCAGGTGTCCCCCAGCATTTTAAAAACTGAGTGACTAAGTTTGTATCCTGAGAATATTCAGAAGGGCTGTGAACCCTGGCAGAAGATTTTTAGAGTTAAGATTTGTCACAATAATTTAGAAAGTTGCAGTTAAAACCCAACTTGAACTGAAACCAAGCAAACTTTTCTCCCCTTCAAAGGAGATTTTAAAAAAATATTTTTTTCCTTAACTTTCTTGTTCACATACCTGAATTCTAGCCTACCTTCATACTGCTTCCCACTGACAAAGAGAAAGATAGAACCAAGTCCAGCAGTAGGCTGAACACTGTCAGAAATCAACAGTGTAAGAAAACAGCAGTATTGTGAAAGACTCAAAGCCTCACCTGCCTGTTCAAGCAGTCACTTCACCTACGTGTGCTTTATTACTGTGGAGTCAGCAAGATACCTGCAAGTCTACTGTGGCTTTGTTAACTGACCTCACAACCCACATCTGATATTACTATGCAGTCACCAGCTTAGATTCTGGTGCTAAATGCTCAGAGGAAGAAAGGGATTTTCCTTCCTCCATGAACCATGCAAAGGGAACACACACAATTCAGCATTTGTGTTAACAGACCATACCAGAGACTTTTTGCAAACTCTAAGTAGTCCAGTGCACAGCTCTAAAAAGATTAAATCCACAGTTACTTTACAACGTTCAGAAGTCCAAAGAACAAGGAAGTCAAATCTTCCAGTGAGGTCTGAGGCCTAATAGATGACAAGAACACCCTCTTAAAAAGGAAGGCAGCAGCTCAGTACACCTGAGCTCTTGCAGCACCCACCATGAGAACTTCAGTCGCTTCCTGCCCTGTTTGTAGTTCTCTAGTTGACAGAACCATTAAGCTGAGTGTTGTGCTCTTTCCTCTGAACCTCCTACCACAGGAAAAAAAAAGCCTGAAGCCTAAAATTCTATATACAAATGCCAACTCATTCTTCCTCTCTTCCAAACAGGCTGAATGTTGAGAACATGATGGTCACCACAGCATGCGGGTGCTGTCGGCCACTTCAGCTTCTTAAGAAGGAATTCCAACTACCATGCCAAGACCCAGATGACCCTGGAAAAAGGCTCACTATAGACATAACTGTATTTAGTGGTTGTGATTGTAACTTTGACAGTTGCATACACTAACCAGGCCTCAGATACCAATTTTTTTTTAATTAAACACTGATCACAATTTAATACTTCCATAGTGACTGCTCATTGTTGGATTCTCTTGTACTGATTATCCAGGATAGACTTGAAGTCAGGCTTCTGAGCAGCTGCCTGGACTGTCAGTGACCTTGACAGATAAATTATTCCTGATCAGGAGGGTGGGGTGCAGAGAGGAAAGAAAGAATGGGCAGCGTGAAGTTCGGGAGGGAAGACCATGTCAGAGACTGTATGGCCCTGTTCAGGGTGATAATATTTAACCAGAGCCTAAAAACTGGCCCACGCGCTGTGCAGTAACAGAAATTTGACTTTCAAATAAAGTAGAAGGAACTGAATTTCCTAACTTTTCATTATTTGGCCAATTATTTTAACTGAAAATAGTCTGTTAGGTTCACTACAGCTGAACTAGGACCTGTGGAATAGCCCACCACTTCACTGGGAGAACTGACCCATTCCCTTTCCTTTGAAGGTAGACACAGATGTGTTCATCATCCATAGGTGACTGCTGTTGGAAAGCAAGGTGCTACATGAACCAAAAGCTAATAGTGAGGTTTCTGCATGCACCCTAGAAACACTACTAACACAGACATGTAGTGGCTTTTGGATATCAACAGAAATTTGATGGCATTTCTCTGCAAGAAATCAAAGCCCATATGCATCTAACAGGACACAGGTTCACTCAGAAGCAATTTCTACTTGCTGCCAGTCAAGAGAATTCTTTATTACTTTGTTTGCAAATCATTTAAGAAAAAGCTGTATGAGTGCACAAAAGCTCATATTTTTTTCCCTTTTAGCAAGTTTTAGAGAAGAATCTGAAGCATACATTTAGAGCTTAAGTGATGTTATTTAGCAGTTCAGATACTCTTTACAGTGACATCAACTTTTTACAGCTCCTGCCCATATGTAACACAGGTGTGTGCTGTTTAGCCTCAACCTTATCCCACTGCTACTCCAGTTTACTGCAGTCTGCACTGTTCACGTACTTACTGTTGTTAAGAACTCTAGGAAGAAAGATTTTACATCAAGGTTTTGGTTGGTTTGTTTGTTTTTTTTACAGTAGAGTATTTATAACATGTGACTAAACACAGCAACAAAACCAAACTCAGTCACTGGAGGGAACAGAGATCTTTAGACCAGATAAGATTCAAGTGAACAAAACCCACTAGTTTTCAGAAAGAAATCACATCAATTATTTCACAACAACCATTCCATGCAAGTATTTCTTACACTTTTATGCTCCCAGACAAAAAAAGGACAGTTTGATTACTGTTCTAATCATTTATTTAATCTTAATACGTTCTTCTGATGAATATAGTCTAATATATAGTCTTCTATATGAAAATTCTCCACTTAATTTGACAGAACTTTGTTTTATACAAATAAGACAATCACCATAAATGTTACATACTGGAGTGTAGGTCAAGAATGAACATATGCTACCTGTTTTGCTATTCAGTTATTTTCACATGTCAATGCCTGAAAATACTGCACTTAAAAACAATAACACTGTTTACTGCAGAAATTACTTTGTCTGCTTGACAGGATACATCACTGGTAAGTTAACCATCATTCACAAACAAAAAAAAAAAATCAAATATTTGTATTTAATTTGTTCACTTTTCTGCTCATGGCTTCATTGAGCTGACATTTAATATAAAGAGTGAACAGTCATAAGCTTAACACAGTCACCACTGAAAAGACACTTTTCCCTTACCCCTCCCTCCTTCCCATATTTTAATGCACATTTTAGCACAGCTTGAACCAAAGCAGAGTGAAATAAAATAGTGCAGTTCTCAAGGTGTCCTTTAATGAGGGCACAGAACATTTTTCAGGGGGACAGATATACAACAGGATTTGGAATAGTTGAAACAGAAGCTCCTCCCCTGTCTTTGCTAAGACTCCCTTTAGATCAGCACATCAGATCTGTAATGTAGCAGCCAACAGCATGGTTAACATAACAGGACTAATAATGAGACATACAGCATCCAGAGGAAAAAACATAAGGTATCCCATTAGTATTTTGCAACTGCCCAACATGACTGCAGGAACTGCTCATGAAGACTTTCAATGACAATATTTATGATCAAAGAGTCTTAATTAAGAAGTATTTAAAAGGCCTTAAAGGGGCCAATTGTTCAAGGGTACTTCTGCGGAATGACCAGGCCTTTAGCCAAATTATCAGTCTTAATATCCAGTTACAAGTCATTTCTGGAAAAACAAAACATATCCCCCAAAATCCACACATCACAGCAAAACCTTTGTTCCTCATTTTTCACTTGTACTCGAGTACAATCACTAGCCTTCAATCAAATCAAGTTATAATCTCCCAGTTCCATCATTTAAACTCAAAGCACTGAACACAAAAAGCAAGGCACACTCAGTCATGGAGAATCCTGTCCCCTGCTGTGCACTGGGCAGCACGACAGCAGCCTCATTTAAATGTATTTTCAATGTCATCACTCTTACTCAAAACCTTTCCTCCATGGGCACACTTGTCTGTATGTGCATGAGACACCAGTCCCAGGCTGCCTTTAAATAACCTTGAGGAAACCTTGATCTGAGGTTCACTTCTCATGTCAGCAGTAGATGATTTTGTTCATCATGATCTGTAGTTCTCACTTACAACTGCCCACGCTTTCTAACTGGGCTACCTCACTTGCTTTGGTTTTGGAGCCTTTGTTGCACCTCAAGGCTTGAGGAGCATGAGCCAAAATTTCTGTCCACTTACTTCTGCAGAGAGGCTGAGAAGAGTTTGCTGACGTGAAACAAGTTAAAAAGACTCTGGTTGTAAAAACCTGAACGTTTTTGAGTATTCCACTTTAAGTTTCAACAGAAGTTTTCTACACCATGTTGGACATTTTTACCACTGACAGAAAGGAAACTGTTCAGATATCAGTTATTCAACCTCTTAAGTTTTACCATTAATGTACACTGGGGAAAATATTGTTTAAAATTACATTTTCATCTAAGACTGCATGCCTTAGAGCCCTTCAAGGGCCCATTTCCTCTCACTTCTTTTATACAAGACTAGACCCTGCAGTTAATTGTATCACATCATTAGGACTATTACTTAAGATGTCTGATGGAAAACAGAAAAAACAGAGAACGAAGTATTTAACTTCACTGAGTAACAAGGAACAAGTATATACTCATTCACCACCTACCAGAGAAGCTCATCTCATTATTGGAGATAAGCAGAAGGATTAAGAACAGCTTTTGCTTTCAATTCACTTTCCAAAGATCAGAAAACATTAAGATGTAAAATATTACACAATTAATATTTTAAGACTCTGGTCCTGTGACATTTTTTAAATACAAAGATTGGTGACACAACACAAATGTTCACTTGAATCAGATTCAAACACATCCTGGAATCTGCCCTCCCATCCAGTAGATAACTTGTGGGAACGTTCACTTTACAAAGTTTTGACTCTACATTTAACATCTGATTTAACCTTACTGAGCAGCAGTACATTGGTTTCTTTCAACTCAGAGCAGAGGAAGTACCTGTTAAAGGTACTGAAGCAGAATGTTTACTAGCTATTTCCAGCTGAAATCCTTGATTACCACATCTAAAACAACTTCCCTTCAACAAGGTTAAAAGCCTGACCTCTGCAAAAAAAAAGAGCAAAAACAGCCCTCCCACCCTTTGTGTAACAGACTAAAAGCCATTTTTAATGGAAAAAGTCACTTCCCTGTACTGTACATTTTATATTCTTAATTTTAAACAAGGGTCAAGTCCTATTAAGGCAGGGAGCTGGTATTGGTTAACATTGCAGTACTCAGACAGTGATGTACAAGACATTTATTTGCAGTATGATGACAGTGATATAAGTGGAAAAACCAAAACTGACATGGTTAATATTAAAACTGTTCAGACAACAATTCACATAATCTCTGAGATACAGCTTCTTTACTTGTTCGTAGTGTGAGCCTGTACATCTGAAAAAGAACATAAAATTTTACTTTTTAAACACAGTTTGGCATTAAATGAACGCACAGTCAACTAGTGAAAACTAACAGTTACCTCCTACTTGCTTTGTAAGCTTTGGTAGGAAAAAGTCCTCAAATCAAAACATTCAGAGGCAGCCAGCCACTGAGTAATACAGCTTTTTCAAACCACTGGTTGAACCAAACTTATATTCAAATGCTTGTAGAGAATTACTTTTATTATAGTATTTTTAGCCTTCAACAGAAAGGTGTTGTCCAAAATTTTTCTTTAAAAGGAGTAAATGTTGTGGAAAAGTTTAAAGACCCTCTACCACCACTTCTTCAGGGAACAGAAGACTTACCACCCAAAACTTATTTTTAGTCCTTAATTAACTTTGATAAAACCTCTATCAAAAAAGCTTGAGTAAAAATATTCTTAACGTTGTGTTCATGCTTTCTCTTTTAGCCACTCTTTTACTAACTTAAATGGCAAAAGAAAGCATACTTAACCTTGTCTGAGGTACACAAGACAAAAACATTAAATGTTTCAAACCTTCAAGAGAAGATGAGACTTCATGGACAGTCTGGAATATTACAGTGATCTCTTCTAACAGGAAAAGGAATTGCTATGAAGAAGCAGCTTACCAAAATGGTATAATGCCATGCAGGACCAGCTCCTGTTGGAGCCTGCAGTCACAATCTGCTATTGCAATAGTGATTTTTAAATACCTTAAGAAGTTTCAGATATACACAGATATTTAGCTCAAATGAGAACCTGTATATAAGTTGTCAATAGTTACACAGATACCTGTGCCTGGAGGTTGGGTTCAAGGCGCAGCAAGCATCCAATCTGAGTAGTTTTTGTATGTATGATACCAGCACCAACAAAGTTGGCAGGATTGGGATCTACCTCCTCAAGCAGCGCTGATCCAAAGCCTATTATCTGTGAAAGAAATGTAGGAGATTCAGACGTGGGGAGAGGAGGACACAAATATCAAGCCTACCCAAACATAGCCACCACCAAATAGCAAAACAAGCAGGAGGCTAACTTTTAAGTGTTCAAGACAAAGAATTCTCCAATATCAATTTCATTACAACAAATTTTTGAAAAATGACCCTGCTAATGAGCTGTTCCTGTAAATAAGGTTCTTCTCAAAAGCAACTGAGAAATAAGTTAAGATTTAACAGAAGTCTCCCCTGGTTTTGATACAGCCATTCCTGTCTTACACAGTTACTTCTGTTTTGCCTAAGGCAGCCAGTTCTACAAAAAGTGACTTTTCTAACTAGTAACTCTAGTACAAATTAGGGCTTGAAGTATCTTCCAGTTCAGTTTTAAGCAGTGAATTGGTGTTTTCTTAAACAGCTTCAAGCTTCCAGCTGCTATTGAAGACTACATCTAATTCAA